TCCACCGGCTGATGAAGTCTCCATTGCATCGATAGTCTTTACAAAACCTTGACTTGCGTTCCTCTTATGCTTTGAAGTTATCTTCTTGTCTTTCTTACTCTCTCCCTCTCTCCCAGTCGGGACACTGTCACTCCCGGTCCGCTCAACAAGAACAAAGCTATTCCTATTCTTGTTATCCTTCTTTCCTTTCTTCTCCAATTTAAGATTCTCGTGGCTCCCCGACCGAGACGGCTCTGATAACTCTTCCTCGCTGTACGATATCGGCGAGAGCATGGTGCCCTTGGTCCACTTTCCCTTTTCCTTTCGAGTGATTCGGTTCAAAGTAGATGAACGCTCTCTCGGCTGGTGATCCTCTGGGGAGAGGCCGGGAGAGTTAGAAATGGGCGGAGGGTAAGAGGCTCCGCTTGTTTTGAGTAGCTGGAGCGTCACCTCATCCATACTGCTGTTCCTAGTGTGTCGCGGTATGGCCATGCCTGGCCCCACCCCTCCAGCCCCGCCTATGTGACTAAACGGGTAACGATCGGATCTCGTGAGATCGTCAAGAGTATCGGTAGAGTCACACTCTGATGTCGGGCTCCGCCCATCTCGTGGGCGGAGGGACGGAGAAGAGGGCGTGACTAGGACAGGGTCTCCATTGAAAGGATGGGACTCCAGCATGTGGGCTGTCATCGGGCTTATTGATTCACTCCGATCTGATTGGTTGGTTATGTGATCAACACTTGAGGTGGCAGAATGAGGGAGACTGTTAGTCTTAGATATTGGCATATGCTGTCCAGGGACCTTAACTGTGATGTGCTGGAGTGGGACCGACTTTCCTTTACCTTGAACCTGGTTCATGTAATCCTGGAGAGAGAGAAAGGAGAGAGAGAGAGAGGGAGAAAGAAAGAGGAAGAAAGAGAGGGAGGGGTGAAAGAGGGGGAAGGGAGAGAGAAAAGAGAAAGGTCATTCAATATAATATCTTTCTGTTAGAAAATAACAATACAAGTACATGTACATGTACTGTACATGTTACCAAGAGTGGATTATCCACTCTTGATGTTACCAACTGTATCCTTATGTTATTATTCTTATTGTAAGGATGCAATCAATTCAGTTAATGAGATAATGAGACACTTGACAGAGCCACTAAACACTTGACCAGACACACAAGAGAAATACAATAGTATCAATTACCAATACTCACTGTATGTATACATGTACATGTACATGTATATGTACATGTAAAGTGTATAATGTCAAAAAAACATACATGTACATGTACATTGCATAAACTAATACATTAACAGTTCTACTGAGAGATGTACATGTATGTAAGTGTACAAGTATACACAATTCACTTGACACACACACACACACCCACTCACATTAAAGACGTACACACAACTCGTGTACATGTACATGCACTAATCCATTATAAGATATGTACATCAACTGGTGGGAGAATGCTAAACAGATTTGGTAAGGAAAGTAACTAAGTTAAAGGGCCCATAAGGATACTATCCTACACAAAACCACACAATAGTAATAAATAATAAGACAATAAAAACACATTAATGATACAACGAAATCATGATTTATAAAAAAGTATTGTAAACGTGCATGTACATGTACATGCTAATTCAGTAATGTGCATGTACGTACATTAGCTTGGTTAATGAAGCTGATAGCCTATTATCATATCAAAAATTCCCGTAATATCTCAATCAATGTTGTACATGTAAAATGCATGTAGGTACATTAAGCTACAGGATTCCATTAACAACTGTCGCTAATGTAGATGATGTACATGTATATACATTATAGCATTAAGATGTACATATGTGTGTACGTGTACACATGCTTTGAAGTAGGAAATGAAAAAAAAACAGTTACGATTGCTAATGGAACGTACATTACAAAACAGAGTAAGAGGGAGAGAGAGGGGGAGAGGGAGAGAGAGGAGGGAGGTTTATCTCTTACAGAATGATTTGGATAATATGTTAAACTTGAGGTTGTCAGTACTAAATACTTCTTTTTCCAGTCTGATCTCATTCCAGCACTCTTCTTGAATATCTGGCCCTAGGAGAAGGTAAGATGGAGGGAGAGAGAGAGGGAGGGAGAGAGAGGGAGGGAGAGAGAGGGAGAGAGAGAGGGAGAGAGAGAGAGAGAGAGAGAGAGAGAGAGAGAGAGGGAGAGAGAGAGAGAGAGAGAGAGAGAGAGGGGGGGGGGAGAGAGAGAGAATCATGACAAGTTGAGGTACCCAATAGATAGGGCGGTTGTGGTATGCAGCAATTAATTAAACACTTTAGAGGCACTTAAATAAATCCCACACTGCCTTTCACATCATAAATAAATCAAATAACAATTAATAATTACTATAGTCCACCAATTCATTAATAATTAGGGCAATCATTAATCAGGCATGCCACAACATCTTACACAAAATAAAAAACACCTGCAGGCTATAGGCTTTAACATGCAGCACTACATGAATAAGTACATGTACATGTACATGTACTTGCTTTAAAAAGTGTGCTGTTACATTAGGACTACATTAAAGTGCAGTACATGTGAAGAGATGCATTATTCAGGATAGAGTAAAGTATATGTACATGTACATGTACATATAGTATGAATAATGGCTGGAATAGCAGTATTAATATTAATATTACTTCTTTGATGGGAATAGTACGGCCTGTACCAACTGGTGTCACTGCAAATGCTGGCCGATCGTGTTTCTGGAGAGAAAGAAAACAGAGATATATTAATTATAAGATATTGGAAACATACACCACAGATACACATACTGTACTGTACATGTACAATCAGTCACATTGATCATGCAAGTCCAAGGGAAAGTAGGCAAGGAGACTGAAAACTTCATCACTTCACAAATTCAAGAGAAGAAGAGAAAGAGAGAGAGAGAGTCAGACTATAAACTGAGTGGATACTACAGTCACTACTACAAAGAGGCTTCAGCTTATATACTGAGAGAAGAGGCCACGCCCACTAATCTAATAATAGTCTGGAGGCGTGTCAGAGGGAGAACACTCAGTGACATCAAATCAAAACAAGTGACATCTTGAAAAATAACTGTCACCTATCCAATGGCCTCCCCTTCTCTCCTTTTAAACTATACTCTTTACATTATACCACTTAAGTTTATCTTCATTATTACATGTAATTTGGCAAATAAATGAATTTGCCATTGGCCAAAGAATATCGTATAGCGGGGAATTTTGGAGGGAGTTAAATTTGGTGAATTGTTAAAGTTTGGTGATTCGCAAATTTTAATTTGGCAAATTAGTGGTCATATGCCATTAAGCATGCGTATAATGGCTCAAAATGGCGGATTTTATTTTGGCAAATGGCTATCAAAACGCCAAATTTAATTTCCTCCAAAATTTCCCACTATATGGTACATTACAATAAGTCGTTTTGGCCATCTTGCTTTAAAAATTTACAAAAAATGGTCCTCTTTCTTTTTCATGAATATTAAAATTGTTCTATTTCTAAAAGTTTCATACAACCATTAACTCACTCCTTTCTTTTTAATGGTCTTCTTTGTTATGCTAGGAGAAGAGGCGGGCTCCGTTTTGTTGCCATGGAGATTGACTCCGCCCGGTGAATTGACGAAATGAATTGGCTGAAGGTGCGAGGGAGAGGGAGGGACAGCGGAAGAGAGAGAGGAGGAGGGAAGTGATGAAGAAGGATTGTTATACGAGGGAAGAGAGAGGATGTATGACCTGCAAGCTACAGAAAGAAATACACAAAAATTTAATTCCACACAAAATGCATAGCAAACATGTACAGTACATGTACATGTACATGTACATATAATACTAATTTTTGAGTTATGAGTTTTAAAATGAATGTACATGTACATGTACATTGTAAATGTAGTTGATGATGCTTTCATTAAAATTCTACACAATGTTTTTCTTAATTTCTTGCTTCATTCATGATGCCTTACATTTTTTTACACAGAAACATGTGTACATGTACATGTACTTACCATCAATGAATACGTTGTGAACGGCTGAGGGTTGGGCCAGTGTCGTATTGAATACCCTGCAATTATCAATATCACTGGCAATACGCCTGACCTCTATCTCTGATACAGACTTGGTGATAAAATCATCTAAAAAACAGAGAGAAAAAGAGAAAGAGATAAAATAAGCAAGAGGGAGGGAGGGAGGGAGGGAGAGAGGGAGGGAGAGAGAGAGAGAGACAGAGAGAGAGAGAACAGGAGGTTACATTGTACATGTATTGTACTTACCTACAACCCCAACCAGAAGTATGTGTGGATCAGGCTGCATGTCAGAGCGATAATGTCTAAATTTAGAATTAATGTCCAGCAATCTGTCAAGACTGGTGGGACTGCTGTAGCTGAAGACAAACATGACAATGTCCACCCACTGGCTGAGCTGCCTGGAAACCATCTCTGACTCTTCTCTTATCAAGAGGAGGCACTGCTTACGACCCACAGTTAGTTTAATCTTATACCGACCGTCTGAAAAGAGAGAGAGAGAGAAGAAAGAATAAATATGGGAATTGAACTACTTAAAAATCATTTTCTCTCTCTCACTTGGTTCATCTTCTCCAAGTTCAACTACTCCTTCATGAAAGGCTGAGATTAATGTTGTCTTGCAGCTGTCAGCGGCTCCAACCACACCCTACATGTACATGTACATGTATATAAGGTACCGTACATACATGTATAGTACATGTACGTAATATATGACTTTTCAAAAATTCTCAAAACAAGCTCAGTGATGCAATAACACATTAATAGCAGTAATTATCATGTTTTGGCAAGAAGTGGATACACATACATGTATGTACATGCACACATGCACATGTACAAGTAAATTGCCAAATTTTCTAAAATAAAATTATCCGATAATTATTGCCCAAAGGAAAGAAATAACAACTAATGCAATACCATTCTTATTTCCTGTACATCCCTTGTCACTATCCACTCCTGATTGTCCTTGTACTGTCCTGGAGGAGGAAAAAGTAAAAAAAATAAATTAATAGAAGTACATGTATGTACATGTAATGTGTAAAAGCCAGAGGATTGGATGTAAAAAAGTATAAAGAATAAAAATCAGACCACATAAAAGAGAGAAAATAAGGAAGGAAGAGGAGGAGGAAAGAAGGAGAGAGAGAAAAGGAGGGACAAAAGAGAAAGAGAGAGAGAGAGAGAGAGAGAGGGGGGGGGGTAGAAAAGAGAGGAGAGAGAGATGAAAGGTAGAGTACAAAAAGTTTAAGCATAAACAATAACACAAGCAACAAATTAATAAACATAAAGTGTTGGCAAAAGACCAACAATAACAAAAATAAATAATGTACAGTACATACAGAAACCAGCTACACATTACATGTACATATACATGTACATTGGTACATTTGTACACGAATGCATTTTCATGTATTGCAAAAAGGATACACATGTACATGTATGTTTTTATACATGCAGCTATACTCAATAGGGAGTAACTCATTAATTGCTGTTATATAAAAACAGCAATGAAGCCAGTAACATGAGGGAAGGGGTGAAGGAAGAATGCTAATAAATTAATTATTGTGCTGCATCATAATGGCATAATCAGTTAGACCATCTAGTAATTCACGTCTCTCTCACTTCAAAGGAACAAAGAAGGTTAAAACCACACACCAATGAAGAGATGTGTAGATGTACATAGACACACCCATACAAAAACACAAAAACACAATTTACTGAAGGACAGTACACACAAGATGGGAAAATACAAGTAAGCTGACACAAAATCATGCTCTCACATTAAGAGTTAGAATTTAATAAAAACAAGACTATACCTGCTA